TTATTTATAATTTAAAAAATATTTTTTTTAGTTATCTGATGCAAATTTTAATAGCGATTAATTGAAATATTTTAGATTCAAGATTTCAGCATGCTATTAAACAATACTTTTAAAGAAAATAACAAAATATAATTTAAATTATTTATCATTTAAAAACATTTTTTTAGTTATCTAATGAAAATTTTAATAGCAATTAATAGATCAATTGTGATTTAGGATTTACTATTGTTTTACATTGTTTCTGCTAAGGAGTTCTCAGTTTCTACGGGTCGGATAGGGCACGACAGTTCATTTTGCTGGCGGCGTTCTAGACTCGCACAGTGATTGTCTTACCTCTTACTGATCCTGTAGGGGGCGGTCTCAAGCACGCCCGTGGTGGGATTAGATATAGTAGCCCTACGGAGCTGAGGAGCCAGATAAGAATTACACACAGGCTCCTGTATACCATTTTCAACCCTCACTCATATTTACAAAAAACCTACAGTAGACCCTAAAACTCTAAACAGGATTTTACGCTGTTGAGGTTCACATATATAAGACACTGTCAGGAAAAATTATAATCCAAAAATGTATATTATATATTTATAATTTTTTGAAAATATAATTATCTGAAGTTAACATTTTAAATAAAAAAACTAAAATTAATTAAAAAAAACAAAACAGCATAACCTGAGAAAGCACAACTCACTCTGGGTTTTGCCATCTCCTTCACTGTCTTGATCTCACTGTCAGAGATGATGTCATGATAACGAACAATACGTGGGCGGTCCCATTCATCTTCTTGCTTCACTGGAGCCAAAAGCAACTGCGGGTTACGGTTGTTGTCAAAGTAACGGCAAAACAGTCGACTCTGTCTGTGGGGTGTCTGCGAGTAAAAAAAAGCAAAATAATAAATTGAGAGAAAATTTAAAACATGCGAAAAGTAAAACAAAACATGTTTTAAAAGTTCTGCTCACCAGTTTGACTCCCTCTCCTCGGCACAGCATTTCATATTTCTTCCTCTCTGGCAGAGGGTCTTTGGACCGATTCCTCTGAG